ACGGCAGACACGGACACACCGACAAACATCAGCAATTCCCACACAACAGGGGGATGTACAGGGGAGGGGGCTGGGCTTCCCGCCAGTGGTGGAACCCAGCTATGCCAGCTCAGACTGGGGGCAAGGGGTGTGTGGGGGGGGAACACTCCAGAGTGAAATGGGGAACAACATCCCAGCTTCCTCCTGCAGGCCAGCTCACCTCACCCGGAGGGGAAGGGACAGGGCTCTGGGGGACAAAAGGCCAGTCACCGGCAGAGAGGCGACTTGCCGCCAGCAAGCCAACGCGGGGACTGCCAGCTCCCGATCCGAGGCTGCCCCTTCCCCTCCCTCGACGGCCCGCAGGCTTCAAAGTGCGCACGCTGTGTCAGTGGCCAACAGGCATCCCGCTAGGGGAGCGTCCCTAACCGCCAAACGCTGTTGTCCCCACCCGTCACACTGCGGTCAGTCGCTCTCCTGCCCGCTAGCATCCCCCCTGTCAGCACGACATAGGCCGGGTGATGAAAAGGACAGTGAATGGCTTAGAGCCATCCGACTGTTTTATTCTCCTTGCTGTCAACAAACCTACAGACCTCTGGTTAGGACAGATAGATGAAACCCCCCCAGTAAAAGTCTCTGAAAAGCTCTATTAACATAATTAGAAACCAGGGGCAGGGGGAAGAGGAGGTATTTCCCAACCTCCAAGGTCGAGAAGTGACACCAAAAGTGTCATACATTCCTCCACTCCTCTGCCCCGGTCTGACCGTAAATCCCTGCCACTGCTCATCTCAGTTTTGGCAATGTTACAGCTTAACGCTATTCCAAAAGTGAAATGGCCACTAGCCCCATCCCCCAGAAGTCTACTACAAAGGCAGAAGCAGCTATGTATGATTTCACCAAGCAGCAACCTAGGTACGAGAGTAGAACAGCTATCACTGGCCCTCCATCTGCTGTAGCTCTCCTGCTCCGCGTGAAGAAGCTCCTGGTCTACGTGACGATGAACAGGAGAACAGAGACTAGGAAAGGAGCCTGAACAGCACCCGTGGCTCCCAGGGCAGGTGTTGCCCCTGTAGTGATGCATTTCGGGTAACTGTTTGCTTTCACTGTTGACAGACAGGATCCAGGTCTCCACAAACCACCCTGAGGATCTCTCCCCACCCAGCCTCACGCTGCAAAGCCTCTGCACCCTCTTCCTTCCCCACATCCGACAGCCAACACTCACCAAGCGCCAACGTCCTCTGGATGGGAAGATACTCCAACTGAGGAGAGCAGTCTGTGGGATGCCTCCGCTACACAAACGGGAGCAACAAGGCCAAAGCTATCAGAGTTTGGGGGGGTTCCAGTGCTGTCTGTAACACGAGGGGCTGAGTGTAGGGCAAAACTCAGAAGTCGTGAGCAAGAGTTAGCCAAGATCATCCACAGAAAGGAGAAACTGAGGAGCTGATATTGTGTGTGCCCTGCAGGAAGCAAAAGCCTAGAAACAGATAACCTGTATTGTCCAAAAAGGCAAGGCCAAGTCAAACTGACCGGTTTAAAAGGAGCAGCCTTTCAATAGAGGAAGTGGGGATGCAGGACAGAGACAGGGCTGGAGTGGACAGGGAACTAGTTAAGATGCAAGGCAGTAAGGAAGGCGGAAAGCCCACCCCCAAGCTTTATTTTTGTCTTCCCTAACTTGGTGGCTTTTCCATTGCATTCACAAGATACATCTGAGCAGACAGGCTCAAGGTGGGGAAGAGGGGGAGAAGGAGAGGAAGAGAGAGAGTGTAAAGGGCACCACAGTGCCAAAGTGCAACAACATAAAAAAATAAAATAAAAGACAGGACACTCATTCTGCACTCAGGGCTCATACCATGCAGTAAGAGGGGCGGCCGGGGCTGCTCCCCACCAGTAAACAGGGAGTTCGCTCGCTTAGTAGATTGGTTTTTCAGCCCACAAAGTAGGGTTGCCTAGCCAATGAGCGGTGATGTTCTTCAGTGAGACTGGCCGGTTGGGGAATGTGCTGCTACAGAACGGGCCTGTTAGCAGGAGCACCCGCTCTCCGTTACTGGCTGCTCAGGAGGTTTCTCTAGTTTGATGTCAATCACTGCGGGAGACAAGTTAAGGAAATCACCCGGCTCAAGGAAAAACAAGGAGAGAACAGAGAAAGAGATCAGTTTCTGAAAAGGTTGTTAGCTGTCCCTTCTTGTTAAGGGCAGGTGTTTTAGGGGAGCAGAACGTATCCTGCCTGAACAGGATTAACTGCAAAACCAGTGGACTGGGCACGTCAAGACCACTTCGAGGACAGAGCCCAATCAGACAGGTCCGCACACAAGACAGCCCCGTGCAAAAAGGGGAAAGTATTACGGTATTTTTAAGTTATGCAAATTTTATCCTAAGCTTAAGTGGAAAAAGCAAAACTTGTGCTTGCCGTTACAAGTAGTTGGGTACATTTATATGTAGACCACAAGCAGGGTCCTCAATTTATGCCCGGAGGTAAGCACCACACTACACTGGCTGTTTCAGCCACATCTCTGCAAAAGCCCAGTAAGGCCCATCCCCACAATGTGCCAAAAAGTCAGTAAGCCCAACCTAACAAAAGAGAATTGTCAAATTCTACGAGAACAGGAAAGTTACTGGTGAGAAAAGCAAGGTGAAATAAGCAAGGATACTGTCTTCTTTGCTCTTCTCTGGTGTGCTGTCCATCCCAGGTAAGGCAGCAGCCACACGACGGAAAAGCTGAAAAGTAGCAATAGGTAAAGCTGAAAGCTTGTCAGAAACAAATGCATGTTAAAAACCATTGCTTTGCAGCAGATCTTAGAGTCCAAGTCGTACAAACTTGTTATGTGGGTATTTTAGCAAGCAAAGCAATGGTCAACAAATGCCATGAGAATTTTACCTAAGAAATTTAACGGGTTTTATTAAAGAAGTTATTCAATGCCTACAAAACAATTTTATTTTACCTGTTTCTACTTGAATAGAACATGGAATTCATTAGTAACAGTTCTTCCAGGGATGCATAGCACAATTCCCTCCCGCGTTCAGTAAGCGTGTCATCTACCATTTCCAGCCTCAACTGCTTTTGCACACAGCAATGTTACAGTGCACAGCTCAAGACTTCCAATAAGCAACCGCGCAAGAGACCGAAGGTTTAAGAAGCCTATGGAATAACTGACGTTGTACAGCCCATCCTTTCAGTTCAGTCCTGCTGCAAAACAGCCATCTGTGAGCGGAACGGCTGCCTCAAGCTGCATTTAAGCTATTAAGGATGTGCTAGAGCTGGGACGGACTATCATATCCCCATTAAAAAAACAGAAAATGGTTTTGCATAATCTTTCAAGTCAATGCTTAGAGCTCCTCCTGCTGACACCAATGCAGCAGCTAACACAATACAGACACTGCTAGGCAGTCTGGTGAAAAGTGCTGCATAAAGAACTAGAGGAACCACCAGCTAGCTAATGATGATTTTTTGCACAGTAGCTTGGCAGGGGCTTCTCATCCACCCCTCCCAGTTGTGTTACTTGGAAAATCAAGCCACTGAGGTACCAGCAAGGTGCTGCCGTTAGCATCCTTTTAGCCACAGAAGTTCTCACTGCAAACACCCACTAAACAAATAAAGCAACAGTAAGTTAGAACCAAAGATTAAAGTGGATTCAATCCAGAATAGCCAGAAGAAGAACAAAACCAAAGTCTGCTAATCCCATCGTGAGGTTCTCCTAACCAGCTGGCGTGCAGCAAACTGGTAAGTACGTTTCCCAGCCGACACCAACAGTACTCATGCTCCCTGCAGACCCCTGGACCTTACAGCTGCCTTACTCCCCAAGTTCTGTCATGCTTCAGAATGATGCGTGAACTAGTGGAGAGTGGGGTCACAAGCTTATAGCAAGAGGCAATGAGCACAAACTGCAATACAAGAAATTCTGTTTAAACGTAAGAAAAGAGTTTAAAGTTTTTTTTACTGTACTGATAGTCAAACACTGTGACAGGGAACGTACAAAATTACATTTGACTGGCTGCACAAAATAGCGGCATTCCTATTCCTCAGCACATTCTGGTTTTAGACTCCCGTTTCTTTCCAGGTAAGTTTGCTTAGCTTTAACCGGGAATCACTGACTTGACAGAAAAGGAGATTCCACTAGATAAAGCAGCAGCAGTGACCATTGGGCAAGAACCATTTCAGGGGCTGACAATAAATAATATAAGCAAATACCAGTTGGAACATGAACCCTAAGCAGAAGCTTAATCCTCCCACATACAGAGCAGAAAGTACAGATTTCCCGTCTTTAGAGCAGAACATTGATCTACCTGTTTCACATTGTATCCAGTCTTTGCACTGGTCTCAATAAACATCACATTCAGCTCTTTGGCTCTCTGTTCACCTTCTTCTGTAGTGATTTGCCTGGACAAAGACGCAAACAGAAGCAGAAAGACAGAAAGGAAGAACAGTCAGCA